TAAATCAATTAATGATCTCCAAAGTGTTGAGAGTCAGTACACGGTATCTGGGGCTTCTGTACAAGAAAGTTTCTTTTTGTTGTTCCTGTCTTTGAACCCCAAAACAGCATTGGCCTCCTCACCTGGTGGACTAAAGACAACAGGTCCCAATTACTCTTTGCTGGTGCTGCACCCGGAGGCACCTTGCATGCTCAGGTGGATTCCACTTCTGCCCAGAGGTGAGGTGTCATCAAATGGCAGAATTGTTCAGTCCATCTTGGAAGGAACTATCCGAACTTGGCACCCACCACCCTTTGCTTCTCCTCACAGTTGCTGAGCTGTGGGGTTGATTGTCCTTGCAGTGAGAAGGAAGGAGGAAGGAAGACAAGCTTAATCTGCATCTCTGGACCTCAGAGACGTCCCCTGGTCTCTGTGGATTTGGAGAAGAGGTGAAATGGAAAACTTTTTTTTTCTTTCTTAACTGTGAAGAGACTTAAGGGGAAGAAGAGCAGAGAAAAGTCTGTCTCCAAGCCCCCTCAAGTCAGATAAACATCCATTGATTTATTTCCTCTCAAATGTCAAGCCCTGTGCTTAGAATTGGGAACATAGACATGAGCAGGAAACAGTTTCTTTCTTTGTTTGATTGATACAGGAGTGGAGCACACCAACATGGAAACACACATTAATAACTCGTTGTGGAAGCACTCAGTGGGCTGGGAACTAAGCTGACCTCCTAGCATAGGCTGAAGGCTCGGAAAATGCTTTCCGGGGGGGGGGGGATGGCATTGAGCTGACTTTTCAGAAAGTTAATTATGATTATTTACACAACATATAGTCAAGAAATAGCCCATATACAAAGATCACTGTGCTGGATTCTAAGAAGGCAACTTGAAACTTTCCCTACAGCCTTGTAGAAAAACCAAAAATCCTTAGCATGATACCCAAAACATGTTCTTCCAGTTTTCATAATTACTTCCCAACAGAGGACCACTCTGTATTCTTAAAACCAGATAAACCAAACCAAACTGTCATCAAGTCAATTCCAACTCATAGCAACCCCCATTGGGTTTCTGAAGCTGTAAATCTTTACAGAAGTAGATCGCCCCATCTTCCATCCACAGAGCAGCTGGTGGCTTCAAACTGCTGACCTTCCAGTTAGCAGCCAAATGCCACCAAAGTGTGTACTCAATATATAGACGTGAAAGACGTAGTCAAATTTCAGGACTTTTCCCCCTTTCTGGGGGAGGTTAAAAGGAAATAGTAAACAATGTTCTAGAAAGATCATGGAACCCTAATATGTCAACTTTTCCTGGGAAGAAAATAGAAACAAATGTATTGATATTTTCACATTTCCCTACTTTAAACCTTTTACCAAATCAAAATAAAATAAATAATGCTCTACAAATATCATGAAACTCTAAGTAACGTATCAAATTTTTTTTATATTTGGGAGGATTGAAAAACAAACATTGATATTTTCACTTTTTGATACTTAAAAAATTGTTTTATTAAATTATTCATAAATTATACACATAATATCTAATTAACCACAAGTGAAAAACACAAAAGCACACTGATAGAAAACAATTGAGTTATTCCATACACACTCTAGTCACCCTCTTCCTCCACCATGTGTCCCTATATCAGATGTTAAGGTATCTGTGTGAATCATTCTGAATCTTTTTCTATGATCATACAAACATCAAGAAACATGATGTACATTCACACCTAAGGTCTTTTTCTAAGATGGACCCTCTGCCAGTAGAGTATCTCTTCTCATAATGAAATACAACTCATCCTTTAAAATTGAAGTCCAATATCACGTTGTTGGAAATACCACTAGTGTTAGGACATGATCACAATCATTCAATGTACCAAGTTCCTGGCCATCATCATCCTCATCCACTCTTCTGTCTGGGCAAAGGTTGTACTTTTACAGTGGTTGTCCCATCAGATCTCCACAGAAATCTTGGGTTCTAGGAGGAGCAAGCACTAGTCCTGTTGTTGTTGTTGTTATGTTCTGTTGAATCAGACCCAACTCATAGTGACCTTTCTTGGGTTTCCAAGGTGATATCACTACGGAAGTAGATTGCCCAACCTTCCTTCCAAGGAGTGGCTGGTGGGTTTGTACTGCCAGCCTTCTGGTTGGCAGTCAAGTGTCTTAGGCACTAATCTTACTTCCTGTTTTAAAGTGGGTGAAATTGAGCCTCAGAGAGATGAAGTGACTTGTTCAGCATCTAACAGTGCATTGTGGCTTTAAATCTGAACCCCAGGTTACTCGACTCCAAATCCAGCTCCTGGAAGTACTATTGAATGTTGCCCCTTGAAGATTTTTTGTTGTTGTTCTTTAGCTATGGGGGTACCTATGGGAATAACTAATGGAAAACATTAATTATGCATCTACATGTCCTAATCACTGTCTGTTCTGGTTACCTAGTGCCACCCTGACAAGAAATATACTACAAATGGGATAGTCTTAACAAACAGGAGTTTATTCTTACAATTTGGAGGCTTTAAGTCCAAGTCCAAAGTGCCAGGCTGTAGGGACTGGGTGAAAGACCTCAACCTTGGGGTCCAGCTCTGCCTCCTGCTCCCGGCCCACTGGAGCTAGAGGCATTTCTTCACTCAGACAGCTGCTGGCTGCTGAGGCTGAGAAGCCCAAAGTTGGCAAGTAAAAAGGCATAGTGCCAATGTTACCAAACCACATGGCAGGCCATTAACTTAAGTCCATTGTAAGTCCCAAGGTCGGCAGAGCATAGCAGGCTGTTGAGCAATGACACGGCTACATGCAGGGTCCAAGCGTGCCATAGGCTAGAGACCATTCCCCTGCTTATATACGGGAAGCAGACCACATACCCGAAGGCAGCTACTCAGTTGCTTGTGGTAGATCCCACCATGGAGTTGATTGCCAGTCTCATCATGGGGAATACTACCACCAGCTGCCCAGCCACTCAACCAGGCCCAGCCAAGTTGACAAACATAACTACCACACTGTCTTTGATGCTTCCACACATCCCCTCATTTGATGTTCGTAGCTCTGTGCAGTGGGTATACCTACTCTTCCCACTTCATAGGAGAGAGCACTAGAGACTCAGGAAAAGGATATCAAGTTACAGTTCATACAAATAAGAGAAGAGTAACAACTCAAATCCAAGATTATTTTCTATAAAAAGGCAGACTCCAATGGTAGGCTGTAAACTGAAGAGACTTCTCTTCTGATGCAGTCACTTCTGTTCAAAAACGTCTTAATGAATTTGAGAGATGAATCAAATGGACTCACTCACAGGGCTAGTTATTGGAGATGAAAACAGATCACTGAAAAACAAACCAATGTCACTGCTGTTGACGTGATGCTGACTCATGGCGATGCCACGTGTCACACTGTAGAAGAGTCCACAGGATTTTCTGGGCTGTAATCCTTAGTCATGCCTTTCTTCTCTGGTGCCACTGAGTGAGTTTGAACTACCTACGTTTATGTTATTAGCCAAGTGCAAACCAAATGTGTCACCCAGGGATCTTCAGATCTTTGAAAGGGATACAAAACCCAACCCAAACTGGCCTAAGTGAAAAGTGACTTTATTGTTTCACAGAAGAGGAATTCCCAAGTGTGGAAAGGACTGGAGGCATGGCTGGATCTAAAAACTCAACAGTCGGTATAATTTCATCTCTCTCCCTCTCTTTCTTTTGGTTTTCTTTGCACTGACTCAATTATCCAGCAAGAACTCTCCTTAATAGGCCAAGTAGCTGCTGGTATCTATAGGATTACATCTCCACAGCTGCAAGTCCATGGACAAACAGAAGGCTGAACAAAAATCCTGAGTTCTGTCTCTCTGCAGTAGATTTTATTACTTGTCCAAATTCTTTACTTTTCCCTACATGCACATCCTTTTCCATAGCTCCATCATTTCTCCCATAAAGAGTGTATTTCCCTGTCCCTCAACTTTAGATTTGCACTTGCATTGGCCAATGCGATGTTACTTGGTGTGAGATGCCCATAACCTTAAACTTTGTTTTGTAATTGGCTTGCTCTTTCGCCCCTCAGCTGTCACAATGAGAAAGCACGTCCAGGTCATCTCCTCGCTCCCAGGAAAAGGCTGAGACACATGTGGCTCAGACTCCCCTCTCGCTGATCCCAGTCTCCAACAGTCAATACCTGCCTTAGTCTCCTGGGGCCGCCATAACAAAATACCCCACGATGAGTGGCTTTCAAGAATAAGAATTATTTTCTGCTCTGCAGCTAGGATTCCAAATCAGGGTATTGCTTGTGTCAACCCACTCTGAGAGATTGAAGAAGGAACTGTCTCATGCCTCCCTCCTACTTTCTAGTGTTTGCCAGCAATCCTTGGAGCTCCGTGGCTTGTGGATGTAACTTCACATGATGTCTCTGTTCCCCTGTGCATGACTGTTCTTGTGTCCATTCTTCCCCTTCATAAGACCCACTCAGAGGGGACTAAGGCTAGGACCCACCCTACTCTATATGACTTAACTGATAATATCTCCTAAGAAAGACTCTATTTCCCCAAACAAGGTCACATTCACAGGTGAAGGAGCTCAACACACCTTTTTTGGGGACACAATTCACACCCAACAGTATTCACTTGCATGAGGAACGTCATCTAAGATCAGAAGAGCCACCCACAAGCCCATCCTGAGAGAGCTCACCCTCAGCTGTCTTCATATTTGTGAGAATCAATGGTGTGGTGGTAGACCAAGTATTCGGATCGTTTATTACACAGAATCTTGTGGCAATAGCTGACTTATACAATCTAACTGACCCAAAATAGGTTCATTGGTCCACCCATACTGACTAATTGAGATCAGGGAGTGAAGGTCTGGTCACGGGCATTGTGTTGTGCATAAAGATGAAATCAGTACCATCTTGACCACACAGATTGAAAGAGGGGGGACTGTGGGTCTCCAGAAGGAAATCAGAGTGCTGCATGCCAACAGTGGTTCACGGATTCTAGGCAGCAGTAACAGACATCTACAATGCCTAACTCTGAAAAGTGGTCCCAAAGAGATCACTCATGTCCAGACCATGGTCGTGTGCAGCACACACGGCCCAGGGCAGCCTTCACCTCCTTGTTCCTCAGGCTGTAGATGAGGGGGTTGAGCATGGGGGTGACCAGAGTGTAAGAGAGAGACACTACCTGTTTGCTTTCTGGGGAATAGCTGGCCTTGGGTCGCAAGTGAATGACGCCCATTGTACCATAAAATAGAACCACCACGATGAGGTGGGAGACACATGTGGACAGGGCTTTGTGGCGCCCCATGGCTGATGGCATCTGTATGACAGCGGCCAACACCCCAATGTAGGATGTGGCAATCAGACAAAATGGAACCATGATGACCAGTACTGTAGCCACCAAAACATTGGCCTCCAAGACCCTGGTGTCTGCACATACTAGGCTCAGCAGAGGAGCAATGTCACAGAAGAAGTGGCGGATGCCACGGGGCCCACAGAATGGGAAGCTGAACAGCCAGAAAGTGAAGACCAGAGACACGGGGACTCCAGCCAGCCAGCAGGTGGCAGCCAGCAGGTGGCAGAGGTGTGGGCTCATGATGGTGCCGTAGTGCAGGGGCCTGCAGATGGCCACGTAGCGGTCCCAGGCCATGACGGTCAGGAGGAAGCACTCGGATGTGAGGCAGGCCAACACAAGCAGCATCTGCAGTGCACAGCCCACAGGTGACATGCCATGTCCAGGCCACAGCAGTGTGGTCAGCAGTTGGGGCACAATGTCCAGGGAGAAGCAGAGCTCCACAAGGGCCAGCTGGCGCAGGAAGAAGTACATGGGTGTCTGCAGGGCCTGGTCCCACATGGTGAGCAGCACTATGAGCCCATTGCCTACTAGAGTGAGCAGGAACATGGCCGTGAAGAGTACAGAGAGCAGTGGACGCAGTGTGGGCACATGGGTGAAGCCCAGCAGGATGAACTCACGTGCCCAGCTCTTGTTGGCACCCGTGGGAGCCCATACCCACTGCATAATAGAGGTGGGAGTGCAGAAGGTGCTGAGAAAGGCAGAGGGGACCTGAGGTAAGGAGAACCAAAGAAACAGAAAGTTGCAGCTGCCTGGCTCTGTGCCTCATATTATGTGTTATGCAGAGCAGCCTGAAGGCTCTAGTAAAAGGCAAATCTGACCAAAAGGGGGAAATGTGGAACAAAATTTTAAATTCTCAATGGAATCCAGACTTTCTGGAGCCAATGAAACCACTGACGTGAGAGTATCTTTAAACCTTGAACCAAAACTCTCTCCTGAAGTCTCCCTTGACCCAAACCCTAATTCAGCTTAATTAATTACGCATGCCTGTGTTGAGCATTGTGCTTTTTTAAAGAACTATCCATGTGAAATCAAATGGAAAAAGGCAACTCGAAAGGCTAGATGAGAACCTCAGGGAGCAGAGAGTTTATGTTAACGATAGTGGAATAATTTGGGAGAGGATAGCAAGAATGATTGCCCAACTTGAAGAATGTAATCACTGTCACATAATTGTACATGTGAAAATGTTGAAATGGTGTGTCTTTTGCTGTCTATATATTTTCATGAAAAAAAAATAAGTAACATAAATTTTTACAAAAGGCAAATCAGGTCATGGCGCACACAGGGCCTTCCTTGAGTTCCCCAGTAAAGACGGAGGGAAACCAAGGTCTTACCAAGGCCCCTGAGTTTCTTACCCATCTCTCTGAACTCTGTTCCACTGAGCTCCACCCATGATGTCTCCGGGACTTTACACTTGCCATCTCCTTCCCTTGAGATGTTCTTCCTCTGGATGCTGTGTGATCGTTTCCTTCTCACTAGGTCCCATAGCCAGACCCCATCTCCAGCACCTACACTATCTGGAACTAGGTTTGAATTTAGTTCTTGCATAAGAAAGTCTATGTTCTCCTATAGACTGTGAACCTCATGAAAAAACACCTTCACATCAAATACCCTGAACAGTTCATTCCCCATCAGGTGGTATTATAAACCTGTGCGCAGCCACTAGCCATTTTCACCGTACAATGACACCCTTCACACAGTAGATAGATATGCAGCAAATAGTTTATTAATTAATAAACTAGTTTGTCCCCATATCCTTGTCTTATTAACCCCCAACCTACAGAGAACACCACCTCTTCTTACCTCCATCAGTCCTGGTGGGCGGAGTCTGTCATGGAGAACTTGCGTCTACCCTTACCCATTAAGAACAGATGGGCCACCATGTCAGGCTGTGTCCTCCACTCCCTTTCAACCACAGGGTCTTGGGCAAAGGTCAGACAGAGATGGGTTGAAATCTAAGCTCTGCCATTTTCTGGGTGTGTGGTATTGGGCAGTGACCTATACTTCTCTGAACCTCCATCCTTATAAAGAAACTAGTGAAATTAAAACAAAACAAAACAAAAACACTCAGCCGCTCCAGTCATAGGAACATACCTAAGAGACTTAAAAGTAGAGACACAAACACACACAGCACTGTTTATGAAAGCCAGAAGGTGGGAAAAACCTAGGTGTCCATCAACAGATGGATGGATCAACAAAATGTGCCACATACATGCCAAGAAATACTACTCTGCCATAAAGAAAAATGAAGCCCTTATACATGTTACAACACACGTGAGCCTTGAAAATGGTAGGCTCAGGGAAACTAGTCAGCTATTATATGATTTCACCAATACAAAATACTTAGAGTGGGCAATGTTATAGAGAGTAGTTTATTAGTGGTTACCAGGGGTGGGTGAGGTGAGGAAAAGGGGAACCAGCGTGTAGGTAGCACGGTTTGCTTATGTTGTTAGGTGCCTTAGAGCTGGTTGTGTCTCATAGCAACTTCACGTGCAACAGCGTAGAACTGCCCGGTCCTGCGCTATCTCACTGCCCTTGGCATGTCTGAGCCCATTGTTTCAGCCACGGTGTCAGTCTGTCTTGTTGAGGGTCTTCCTCTTCTTTGCTGACCCACTACTTCACCGCATGATGTCCTTGTCCAGGGACTGGTCCCTCCTGACAAGATCTTCAAAGTATGAGAGATGAAGTCTCTCCATTCTCGCCTTTAAGCAGCATTCGGGCTGTGTTTTTTCCAAGACAGATTTGTTCATTCTTCCAGCAGTCTATGGGATATTTACTATTCTCGGCCGGCACCATAATTCAAATGCATAATTCTTCGTTGCTCTTCCTTATTCATTGTCCAGCTTTCACGTGCACGTGAGGCGATTGAAAAGACCATGGCTTGCATTAGTCTTCAAAGTGACATCTTTGCTCTTGAACATTTTAAGGAGGACTTTTGCAGCAGGTTGACCCAGTGCAATACATCATTTGATTTCTGGACTGCTGCTTTCATGGGTGTGAACTGCGGAATCAAGTAAAAGGAAATCCGTGACAACCTCAACCTTTCCTCCAATCATCACGATGCTGCTTAGTGGTCCTTTGGTGAGCAATTTTGTTTTCTTTGTTGAGGTGTCATTCCTACTGAAGGCTGTAGTATTTGATCTTCATCAGTAAGTGCTTCAATCATCTTCACTTTAAGCAAGCATCATCTGCACATTGCATGTTGTTAATGAGTCTTTCTCTAATCCTGATGGCACATTTTTCTTCATATAGTCCAGGTTCTGGGACTATTTGCTCAACACACACATTGAATAAGTGTGCTGAAAGACAACAACCTTGATGCCCAACTTTCCTGATTTTAAATCATGCAGTATCCCCTTTTTCTGTTTGAATAACTGCCTCCTGGTCTATATACAGGTTCATTGTGAGCACAATTAAGTGCTCTGGAATTACCATTCTTCCCAATGTTATCCATAATTTGCTATATGATCCACACAGTCGAATGCCTTGACATAGTCAATAAAAATCAGGTAAACACCTTTCTGCTCTTCTCTTTTATCCAAGATCCATCTGATGTCAGTAGTGATATGCCTCATCCCACAACCTCTTCGATATCTGGCTTGAATCTCTGGCAATCCCCTGTCTATGTACTGCTGTAACCATTTTTAAATTATTTTCAGCAAAATTTTACTTATATGTGATATTAGTGACACTGTTGGATCATCTTTCTGTGAATGGGCACAAATATGGATCTCTTCCAGTTGGTTTAAGGCGCTCTGATGGAATAGCGTTTAAGGCTTTTGACTGTTAACCAGAAGGGCGGTGGTTGAAAACCGCCACCTGCTCTGAGGAAGGAAGATGGGACAGTCTACTTCCTTAATACCAACACCCAGTGGAAATCCCAGTTTGGAAGAACAAACCACTGGGTGCTGACTTAAAAGAGACCAATATGAGTTATAGGTAAGTGGGATGTTATTACAATCTTAAAGTTTTTCTCAGGGAAACTGTATTCATATCCTAAACCAGCTGCGAAGGAGTGGACTTCAACTCACGCCCCCTCCCCAACGCACACACGCTTCAGAGTAGGAGGGTGCTCCCAAGGGTTTTGAATGGCTGGGACCTTTTGAAAGCCAATCACCAGAACTTCCTTCTGAGGCACTTGTGTGTGAATTCCAACCACCAACCTTTGTTTAGCAGTTGAGCATTTAACCATTTCCTCACATGGATATTCATTTAAAACAACAACAACAACAACAAAAACCCTCACCTCCATTGTTCTGGTTCCCTAATACTGCTCTGAAGGGAATATACCACAAATGGGATGGCCTTAACAAACAGGAGTTTTATTCTCTTACAGTCTGGAGGCTTTAAGTCTGAGTTCAAAGTGCCAGGCTCTAGGGGCTGGGGGAAAGCCCCTCAATCCTGGGCTTCAGCTCTGCCTCCTGCTGCCGGCCCACTGAAGCTACAGGTATTTCTTCACTCAGACAGCTGCTGGCTGCTGAGGCTGACAAGCCCAAGGTTGACAAGTAAAAAGGCACAGTGCCGACATTACCAAGCCACATGGCAGGCCGTTAGTTCAAGTCCATTGAAAGTCCCAAGGTCAGCAGAGCATGGCAGGCTGCTGAACAATGACACAGCTACCCGCAGGTTTCAAGCGTGCCATAAGCTAGAGACCATTCCTAAGCTTCTCCTTCTACACAGGAAGCAGACCACAGCCCTAAGGCAGCTACTCAGCTGCTCACAGTAGATTCCCTCGTGGAGTTGATTACCAGTCTCATCATGGGGAATACTACATCTAGCTGCCCAGCCACTCAACCAGGCCCAGCCAAGTTGACACACAGACTTAACTACCACAGCCATCAAGTCAGTTCTGACTCATAGCAATCTCCACTGGGTTTCCAAGGCTGTTGAATATTGATAGAGTCATCAAATTACAAAATCTAACAGCTTCAAAGGAATCTTCTAGATCCATGGCTAGGACAGCATCCCCACCAACTTGCTATTAAGCTCTTGCATATCTCTCATGACAGAGAGCTCTCATCTCCCATGGCAACCTAGACTTTAAGAACAGTTACAAAGATTTTCCCAGAGGCACTTGCATACATGATTGACAGGAGTGTAAATTGGAGCAAACTCTTCGGATGGCATGGCAACAACATCTGCCCACATTTAAATGCATTTAATCTCTTTGTTCTGCAAGTCTACTTCTTGGAATTTACCCTATTGACAGCTTTACACATGGACTCATGGTCTGTGTACAGCATTAGTCAGGGCAAAGCGTTACCTCCAAGAGTAGAAGGTTGGAAGGAACCTCCTGCTCACTGGTTGGGGACTGGGAAAATGGTATATCCTTATCATGGAAAACTGTACAGATCCCCAATGGTGTTAATACAAGAGAAACAAGGTGAAGCCACTGTGTAGAACATGCTGTCACTTCTGAAAATGGCGGGGGAGGATATACTTGTGTTTCATTGAGTGTCCCTGGAAAGACACGTGAGAAGCTGCTGACAGTGGTTGCCTTTGCAAAGAGCCCATGAAGGTCAGAGAGACTAGAGACACTTGTCATCATACACCCTTAGAACCTTTTGCATTTTATAAATGGCCAGGTATGTTTCTAGAAAAAAAATCAGATAATTAGAAAAGAGTTGATTGACCTCCACAAACAAGCAAAAACGCTTGCTATAAAA